AGTATAGTAACGTATTGACCTAGATGCAAGGAAAGTCACACAGTATAGTAACGTATTGTCCTAGATGCAAGGAAAGTCACGCAGTATGGTAACGTATTGTCCTAGATGCAAGGAAAGTCACGCAGTATGGTAACGTATTGTCCTAGATGCAAGGAAAGTCACACAGTGCAGTAACGTGACTGTCCTAGATGCAAAGAAAGTCACACAGTGTGATAACGTATTGTCCTAGATGCAAGGAAAGTCACACAGTATGGTAATGTACTGTCCTAGATGCAAGGAAAGTCACACAGCAACTGATAATCTGCTTCACAATTCAGTCCCAACCACTTGACAGTACAATACACGAGAGGTAGATTTACGGTTGCAGAGATATCAAAGTTCTTTTCATGGAAACATATTCGTATCACAATGTTTCCAAAACCCTGCTCAGAGTCAATCAGAACAATGCTTTTAACTGTAACGTGACAATTGTGGTTATAAAAAAGAAAAGAACCCCCCAACCCCTCAAAAAATTATGATGAAGTTAATTTATCTCCTGGTACCCTAAATAAGATAACAAATATGGACTTGAAGTTAATAAATGCTTTTAAGTTCATAAGCTGTCATGAGGAAACCATAATCACAACCACCCCATTTGACCACATATCTGTCAAGTCCTGAAATGCAGCTCTAAAGGATTTTTGTCTGCTTAAATGTGGCCTTCAAAGCCAATTTCACTTAGAGTGAGGCAACGACCTCAGCAGAAAAGATAGAAATAATTTTGTAAAGTTAAATAGCAATAATTGCTATACAAAAATAAAAATATTTAGTAGCGTGAAGTTTTATTGAACAGAATTGTAAAGTGGCCACTCTTTACAGCAGATACAGATATAACTCCATCAACAAATGCTGAGTTATAGTTCTGTAATCCTCTGGGCCTTAAGGTTTATTTGGCACAAAGCAAACAGGTCATACAGCAAACTGGTGTGTTATTTTTCTTTGTAGCTTTAAAATAAAGCCATTCCTTCTTTTACAACCCTACAAGAAGAGTGGAGACATATCTCAACCATAACATTCACCATGTTACATTCTGCCTATTTCGTATTAACATTTATAGTTATATGTTCCTTCAATATTTAATAAAATATTTTACTAAGTGTTATTAGCTGGTTACGAAGGAATTATCTCATGAAAATATTTAAAATCTCCAAACAAAATCTGCATTATTCCCTAATTGTTGTGGATTGTAACAGGTTCACAAATAGCTTCTAATTATCATTTCTGATTTTTGTTTTGTTTTTTGACAAAAGTAACTCAAAGTAAGTAAACAAAAATAAACCTTCAAACGTCACATCATGTGTACAGAAGATTTCAAGAAGTCATACAAAAACAATCATCCCATTCAAGATGGTTAGTTCGAAGATATTGATGGTTAGAATATTATACAAAGTATACATGAAAACTAGAGAGTTGAACTTTTTTTTCTGCAGGAAAAGATGTTTGTGTTCTTAAGGTTCATCCATCTTTGGCTATTTCTTCTTTATTCTAAGTTCAGATTCAACAGCCAGTTTGGTTACCGACAAACATCAGCTTGTAAAAATCTAAACAAATACTTGGCAATTCCTAAGGTTATGCTATACCATTAAATTGTTCACTAGTTAGTGTTTTTGATAAAACAAACAAACAATAAATACTAAATCTACAATCATTTTAAGTCATTAAACCCCTATTTCAGTAATTGATAGTTTATATTAATCCAATACAAACAGGAGTTTTCTAATGCCATAATTGTGTTTTTTGTAGGCTCGGCACCTTGCCTACATTGTATATAGTTGATAACTACTTTTCTACTCACAATACATAACTTATTTTGACATGAATTGCAGAGTGTACTACTCAAATGTCCCATCCAGTCAACCATTAGAGCAATTTTCAGGCATATTTATACAAATTCATATACTTAAGTAATAAAGTATTTTCTTACTTTTCTCTTTCTCTGGCACTTCTGTAGAGACGAACTTCTTCATACAACTCAGGCCGGTTCTCTAAAAAATTAAAAACAAAGAACTTTACCATACATGAAAGCAACACTTTCATGTTTGTGATAATATAATTTTTTATATTATCATTAATATTTATTATTGTTTGTGTTAGTATTATTATCATTAATACTTATTATTGTTTGTGTTAGTATTATTATCATTAATATTTATTATTGCTTTTATTAGTATTATTATCATTGAATATTTATTATTGCTTTTATTAGTATTATTATCATTGATATTTATTATTGTTTTTATTAGTATTATTATCATTAATATTTATTATTGCTTTTATTAGTATTATTATCATTAATATTTATTATTGCTTTTATTAGTATTATTATCATTAACATTTATTAGTTTTTATTAGTATTATTATCATTAATATTTATTATTGCTTTTATTAGTATTATTATCATTGATATTTATTATTGTTTGTATTAGTATTATTATCATTAATATTTATTATTGTTTTTATTAGTATTATTATCATTAATATTTATTATTGCTTTTATTAGTATTATTATCATTAATATTTATTATTGTTTGTGTTAGTATTATTATCATTAATATTATTGTTTTTATTATTATTATTAATATTTATTATTGTTTTTGTTAGTATTATTAACATTATTATTTATTATTATCATCATTATCATTATTGTAGCTCATCAATATTAAAATGCTTGGATAGCTGGGTATTCAGTATGTGAAAAAAACTTTCCCTGCTGCCAAGTATCTATCCATTACAAAAAATAAAACAGTCTTACAAGTTAAATGGAGTCCAGCCTGTCTTTTACAAATATTTGACTTATGCCCCTTTCTTACTGAACATCAAGATACGGAACAAAGAAACCAAAGCCTTTTATGCTATTAATTCCCAAGAAACTTCAATAAGATACTTTTTATTCATCTTTTCTCAAGAGAAGATATGAGGTTGTAACTTACTCTCATAAGACACTCTTAATTATCCTTGTAGTCTTCCTTTGAACCCTTTCTACTACAATACTATGTTCAGTTTAGGTCTCCTTATTTAAGAAAGGATACTGAATTATTAGAATGGGTTATAAAGATGATTTTTGGAATGAAAGGGTTATCTTACAGTCCTATTAGGTGAAGATCTATTAGCTTATTTTCTCTTAAGAAAACAAGGATAAGAGGAGATGATATTGAAGTTTAAAGGTATATCTGGGATAATGATAGAATAAAGGCTTCTGATTTCTTTACGCTGTATTTTGAGGATAATAAGATGAAAGGGCACAATTTTAAGATTTGGAAAATAAAAGCTAGGCTCCAGAATACAATTAAAAAGAGTTAAATTTTTCTGGTTTGTGGAATGATGTGGTGAAAGCCGGTATTTTACAAGAGTTAAAAATGGGAATCAATGGCTTTCTAAAATTAAAGGATCATTTAAATTTTTACTTTTATCAAGAACTGATATGCAAAGACTAATTGAGCTTTTGTTGTTCATATGTCATGTTAATTAAATTGTCACTGACAACTTAGTTAACACAATGTCAGTGTGTTCTACACTGTCCAGTATTTGAGCACCTGGCAAGAATATTAATTTCTAATGCTAGATCTAGACTTTTTATAGTTCTCATTAAAACAACTAATATAGTTAGTGGAAGAGTACTTACATATGTACATCTCTTCATCATTTTGAACATCAATATAAGTAGATAGAGATTTGAATTTATTAGTCAGTTATTTAAATTCTAACTGAACATGCTTCTATAACCCTAACCTTTTTTACTACTACTACGGTACTAGTACTATGCACTCTTGCGTATACCGCAAGTAATTTTTCAGTCTCTTATTAGCCTCAAGTAACAATTTTAAACAACTGTATTAAGTAATAAACCGAAAAGAATGACGTCCATAATTATTAAAAGCTTCCAACTTCTTTTCAGTGACAAAGACATTGACAATATTGTGACGTCCAAGTTTCACTTCAAATTCAATTTCAAAGTTGAACTTTAAGTTTAAACAAATCAAAAAGTGTACCGAGTTTAGACAAAAGTTAGGCCTACCTGTCTGTACGTTAGACGCTGGAGTCATAGATGATACTCCAGTAAAAAGTGACATTTTATGATAATATTAAGAATGTTTTCTTTGCTATTTATTATTCGCCCCTAAACAACTTATATAACAAAGTGTTAATAATAATTTCCAACAATAGAATGACTAAGAGTAAGTGTATGAATCACTCTGCCCTCTATTATTAGCAGGTGAAAGTTTAAATATTATGCTAAATATATTACAATTTTTATATATTGGCTAAAATTTGTCTCAGCTATGTTTTGATAATAGTTTTCAAATTTAAATTGTCTTACTACGTAAAACATTGAGATTTGAAAAAAAAAACTACTAAATTATTCTACAATTATACGTAGAAACCTATACACACATTCTCATATGAGTAAGGATTTTTATATTATAGACCAGTGTTATTTTTATGAGCTTACTTAATTTAATTGAAAGGGATATGTAAATTCAGATTTTAAAACAGTATGGCGTAATGTTGCTTCATTTGTTTTTACAGGTTCGAAAATCTAAAATCATACCACTCAAACATTTCTTTAATAAACAAAAATACTTCACTATATAATGTTATATGTTGGATATTATATTATTTCGTAACACCTTTTTGGCGCCCCCAGCGGCTCAGCTGTGGCTATCTGTGCTCTGCCCACAACGGGTATCGAAACCCGGTTTCTAGCGTTGTAAGTTCACAGACAGCTGTAAGCACTAAACACTGACTTTCGATACCCGTGGTGGGCACGGAACAGATAGCCCATTGTGTAGCTTTGTATTTAACAAAAAACACAAACAACTTTTGAAATTAAGTTACAAATAATACCCAACTTCTAAATGTGTTATATAAAATATTTGTATACACGTTTAACAAATCATTAATTTGACGAAATAAAATATTATATTTGTTTTTGATTATCATAAGTAAGTTTTTGCTTTTAGGAGATAATTATTTTATTTAGTACATTAAGTAAGTTTTTACTTTTATGAGATAACAATTATTTATTTAGTACATTAATTTCTAAAATTACTTTTTTTAAATAAAAATTAGTCACTTCAAAATAACTTCTACACAAGTAAGCTTTTTGAAAGTCTAAGTTATACTGCAAATGTTTTATTTATTTTCCCCTTATGATGAGGACTTTTTATAACTTGTTGTTTAGTCTGTTTCTATGTAGTTTTAGCATAAACACACGATCCAGAAAAACCATTGAAATTGTTTTACAGTCAACTGATTCTGTGATATATCGAATAGTCACGTGGTGATGCTACCGCAAAGAAAGCATACGAGATCCCTTGCAAGTAAGGAACGTATATACTTTGAGAGTTCTACCTGGTTGTCGAAGTGTTTAATTTGACCCTACGCGAATATTGCTTTATCTTTAATAATTCTTTTTTTTTTCACGTAAAATCACACTGTCCAGTCTGTCTCTTTCTCATACAACTTAAAACTCTGTTAATTTTCAAGCTCAAATTGATATTGACACTTTTTTTTCCATGAACAGATGAGTAGAAGGCTTCAATTGGTTAACACTTTCAATTTGGCATCTGGACACCAGAAGTCGAGCTGAACGAAAAAAAACACACACCCTAAAACTGCTTTTAGCATAATAGATCGCTTTTATGGATTCACATCATGCCATAGAATCTGTGTAACACGCCCGCCACTTTCGAGAAACTAATACAACTAACATTGACGGTATTGTGATGGTCTAGATGATTTGATGTTTGGTCATACTTTGAAGTCAACAGCTGAGAGCTTGAGAATGGTATTTTAGTGGATAAATAAAGTAGGACTGAAATATAAATCTAGAAAGTTCTAATTCACGTGCTCAGATGTGGAGTTTTTCATTCACATCGTGGGAAGAGATGAGGTATCTATGGATACAGTTAAGATAGCCAGGGTGAAAGACTGGCCTCCACTTATAACCAAGCCAGAAGTCTCAGTTCCCTTGCTTTCACATCTGCTGCTAATACTTTGTGGCCAACTTCTCCAGAAGAGCAGCACCATTGTCTGCTCTCAGGAAGTTCAGACACACTTCAGATGAAGCGAGTAATGTGAAAAAGCCCCAAAGCTTTTTTAGTAGATGTCTAGCACAAGTCTATAAGCAGCTGTTAGTTATTTAAGCAATGTCACTGCAGTTGCATGAGGTGGGATCACTTGCCCCCCTGGGAAATGAGAAACATAATTCTTTCTTTAGTATTCAGCATATGTATATGAATTTACGTTTTTCTTTTTTTTCTACTTTATACTTTCAATACTTATTACACTTAATTTTCAATTCAAATAAAAGTCACCAGGTTTGTCAGCAGCCTTACTTAAAATCTCTAGATACCTACCCTGTAGCCAAATATTGAAAAATGTCGCTACCACATGTCTTCTCAGGTATTGGACCCTATGATTCATCACCCAGCAGGCAAATATTTGGCCAAACTAGAGGGAAGGCAGGTAGGTAGTCAGGTTTCTCATCTGAACAAATTACAAGGTTTTACTGTAACTCTTACAATGCATCCACAACCCCAGATTCTAAGAACTGAAGAGTGAAAGCAAAGAAGAATGTGTAATTATATAATATATCAACTACACTTTATCTGCCACATCCAGTGCCAGTGAGGTTTTTTGCCCAATACCAGGGCTAGTCAAGCCAGCTGGGATGTTATAGTTATAGTAGTGGTTGAAGCTATATTTATATCATCAATTGCATTACCAACTGTTATGTATGTGAATTGTAATTATTATCAATTTTAGTTAAGCCATTTAGAAATAAGAATTAGGGTAATGATTAATAACACAATATATTTATCTTCAACATCAATTATTTATTATTAACATTTTTACTTAAATAGACTTAATCAACATTCAGAAAAATTGGCAAACCAGCCAGCAAATCTTCTTCTTTCTAGAGTAGATCAAGCAATCACAGTATTTACAGGAGAAAACTACTTGGGGGATTCTAAAAAACTTATGAAGAATACTGTGTAATGTCAACCACACTATGCTCTTTGGGTTGGTTGTGGCTGCAACTGGCATAAACCATGAATCCTCAGATTTACAGTACAAGTGGATCTTGTGGAATATAAGAAGGGTAGAGAATAATATTAATACAGTTAAAGAGTAAGCTAACGTAAAATGAGGTGAGGATTTTTTTAATAATGTGGCCAATCAGAGTACTTTCATGTTTTGTATTTTGAGTGTAATCAAAAGATAATCTTTCTTGGCTTGATTTTCAAATGGTGAAATAAATAATTTAACTGTTTAAACACCCAGAAGAAATCATTCTTATACCAGTGTCACAAATTAGAGGAGAGGGGTGGGCAACTGTCAAGCCTTAACTTTTTTTTTTGAGAAAAATAAAACATTTAGTTAATGGGCTATGTTTATGGGAAATTCTGACATTAATGTATAAAAAGTCAAAATTTCCAATTTTTTTTTTTTTGCTAGTTATAACCCTCTGGCTCTTATGTAGTTATTAGTTGGTGTATGAACTCCAAAATGGCTCCACTGTCTTATCCAACAATTCTATTTTCACACAAAGGTTTTTTAAACTTATGCTATGCACCACTATGTCTGTATAGATTCTGAAAAATTGATGCTTTATGTCATTAAAATATATATATGTATATAAATTGTACAGTAATATTTCCCTTTCTTTTTGTTAAATTTTATGTTACATACAACAAATACTAGTTAAAAACTAAAATGGGGCCTTGACAGTTCACACAACATAAATGAAGATAATAATGGGACTATGATACTTGGTATTAACTGTAGTTCAAACTATGAACATCAAAAGCCATCTAGCTATCAATATCACCATTAACCATCTGCATTTTTTAAAGGTTTTTACACCCATAAACTTATATAACAGTAAGAAATTTTTAAGCTACAATATCACCAAACCACTCCTTCAGAAAATATTTAAAATTCAAAATGAATAGGAATTTAATTCTGCCTGATAACTAACCTGTACTAAGGTAATTCTTTGCTTTTGGTCAACTCTTATATAATTATATTAGAAAAACCAAAACCATATATGACTAAACATCATAATTTGTCAACTATAAGGTACAGTAGAAAAAAAAGGTAGCATTACTCAATCTCTCTTAGGTTTCAAATAAACATATAAATAATGAGTTGTTAAGATAATGTAATCTTTGCCAATTACCCTGCCTCGTACCAGAAACAACAATTGTAAAAGTGAAACTGATTCCTAATATAAAACATTTGTTTACTACAACTTTTTCCCCACTTCTGGACATAAATTTCAGAGGTATTACGTACAAGATTCAAAACTTTGATCCACAAAATGTTGTTACAGGTAGAATTATATTATTTTTCAGGATAGATATTCGAATATAAAAGGCTAGTTTTAGACAGACTGAAGTAAGAGATTGTGTAGTGAACTCAACATACACCATCTGGTCTCTTGCTCATCCTTATTTCTTTTTAATTATCCAACACAATTACCTATCCTTAAAAATAAACTTACATGAAGACTATAATCCTTATATTATGACAGTATTTATTACTTCACACATATCATAAGCTGAACACAATTTGTACGGCAAATTAATATTTTTTTGGAAACAAAATCGTTATGCCAATGATAGTTCACAAACATTTACACAACATACACAATAATTTGTAGAAATCAAATTATTTTTAGTTGAAAAGTCTGATACATAAAAAATAAATAACTAAGTAATTTATGCAATTCTCAAAACATCCAAATTCAAATGATTGGAGCATGCAGGATTTCACACCAGGTCTTGACTGCTGGTTGTTTACAGCATACTTATCAGATAAAGATCTTCAATAAAATAAATCAAACTTTTCCTATCATCAGACTCACTTAAAATGCAGCTATATTAGAAATTTCTATTATTTTTGTCTAAAACTTCTTTATTTTAGTTTAAAATGTCAGAACTGGCCAATATAACACAGAACTGGTAAAATAGCAAACTATGATGCAAGAAGTAGCTCAAGTGTGAATAAACTTTCTTTGACACAAAAACTGTGAGGATTTTGATATTAATTTGAACTTTGTATGCGACCGTTATTCCTGACTTCTACACAAAGGTAATTCAAAAGCTAGTTCTGTACTAAAACATGGTAAGGATGTAGATAGAAATGTATAAGAACCATACAGATTATCCCTTCTAGACTTCCTACTAATCGCAGATCTTTTAAATAACAGTCTGATAACATTTTTCACATAATGATTTTATTCAAATACAACATCAATGTTTAAATGTTTGTGTAGTCTACAACAAACAAGTTGTATTACTGGCTTACCTACATATAAATGTATAACCAGGTGGTGAGAAAATGTGCCCCTTGACTATATACTCCTTGTAATTTTTTTTAACATTTCAAGTATTCACCGGTAAGTTAGGAAATTAGTTAAATTTCGACTAAGCTCTGTATTCATGTTTTATTAGTTAAATATCGACTAAGCTCTGTATTCACGGTTTATTAGTTAATTATCGACTAAGCTCTGTATTCATGTTTTATTAGTTAAATATCAACTAAGCTCTGTATTCATGTTTTATGAAATCAGCTGAACTGAAGGATTGCTTAAAATCTGAAGTTTAACTAAATCATAGTCTTTCTGAAAATGACCTTAGTATAGTAGAAGTTGCTCGACTGAATCTGAACACAAGAATCCTAAGCCTAACACATCCACAAAACACATACTCGGACTCTACTGATTGTGCTACACTTACATGGTTCCTGATTTGTGGGCCTCATTCTTCCTGAAAACTAAAGAGTTGCTGAAGTTATTAATATTTAAAAAAGGGATAATAAAAGTTGCCTATAAATTAAAGGCCACTTAGATTCTAGAGAATTTAATAAAAGCTTTAGAAAATAACTTAGTGAAATATCATATCGTAACAAAAGGCAACACGGATTCACTCGTGGAAAATCTTGACTTTTTGTTTTTTTGAAGATGTTACTTGTTATCTGGATGACAGCAAGGGTTAGGAATGGTGAATTTAAATGTTCAAAAAGCTTTGGATAAAGTGCCACATAGACGATTAGCTAATATAATCACAATGGTAGGGGTGTGGGGAAAGACCAGTTAATAGGACTGTAAGGTGGATAGATGAAAAGAGGCAAAATATTGATATCAATGTGATCCAGTCAAACTGGTCCCTTACTGTTAAATTCAAAGAAGTGTCCCACGGGTTCATGATCGGGCTTTCTTTTTCTTTACTCACATTAACATAATATATGGACAACAAGGGATCGTTTGGTTCCTCAAGGCTGTCCCTGAAAACCCACTGCAGAGAAAAAATAAAGCCAGTATTTATTTTCCAGGAAATCATCAATTCTTTTATAAGTTCTTCTAAAGTGCTGGCTTTCACTCTTCCCTTTAGCCAATCAACATGTTAAAAAAGCATAATTGTTTTAACTGGAGCCTAGCCTGTCTCTTCCAAATCTTAAATACATCTTCTCATTTTTAGATCTTTACCCTGAATAATAATGTAAACTTCAATATCATCTCTTACTCTTCTTTTCTCAAGATGAGTTTTTAACCTATTTCCATAACATTATCAGAGTTTATTGTCACCAGCAAACTTCACTAGACTCCAGTTATATTTGACTTATGGAATGAGGTGTCATCCATGGTAATGGAGGTCAGTACTTTACTAAAGTTTAAAAGGAGAATCAATGATTTACCAAAAATTAAAGGGTATTTTTACTTTTCTCAAGATTGGGTGTGTAAGGACAGCCTTGAAGGGCCATATGGTCTTTTGTCTGTATGTTACATTATGATCTGAAAGGTTCTCATTTTAGCAATATACCTTGTAATGGATAAGGTGGTTACTCAACTTTTTAAATAGACTACTCATAAATATTGAAGACTGTTACTCTGTGATTTGTTCATTTTCTACAGTTTCCGGATTAAGCAGAGATTGAATCTGCATTTCTTGCATTTCTGTAAAGTTTTGGTGTTTCAACTGTTCTTTCATCAAGTTACCAATGTCAGTGTGGCCAACTTCCATTGCATGCTTCAGACAAAATATTGCTTGGTCATATTTTCCATGTTCCAATGAAGCTAAACAAAAACGTTTTAGGCTTTCACTTTTAGCATTACCAATAATACGATCTTGTTCTTTATCTAATTTCAACATCATTTCCCATGCTTTATCCATTTCACCTGCATTCAAACACACCATCATTATATCACCTAACATTTGTCCTGTCCACTGAATCTGAGATCGCATCCTGGGCTCTTGGCTATCAATACGTTCTTTAATGTCCCAAGCAATTACACCAAACTGTTTCTGTAATTCTAAATCTTCTGTTCCACGGGCCATTATGGAGAGAACAGTTGTGACAATTTGTTCTCGTACTGCATGATTAAACACAATGATATCTGACCACAGCTGGGGGAGGTAATGCAGTGCTCCATGCAGATCAATGGTCTCAATTATATCTAACATAACACTTGGTTCTGGAGTGTAAATATGTGGAACATATTTATTGTAAAACTCAAGGAAAACATCAATATTTTCAGTCTTACACAATAATCTGAAAAAATGTTGGTAGTAGATAGATTCTCTGAATGAATCTCCAATCAAACAATAGTTGTTTCCTTTCTGTAGAAGTGCATGAACACGATATGCTAGCTTTTTATCAACTAGATGATTATGACACACGTCCATAGCTGTAACAAAAAAAAACACGTCTTTTGGATGTCTTATCTTGAGGTCTTTATCTTCTAGATTCTGCATGATGTCAATAAGAATGGGACTAGTAGGCCCACTGGTTTTACAAAATATTGTCAGAAGATAATAGTAGCTTCCAAGACTTGGTTCAATATTCAACAACTTCATTTCAGCCATTACTTTCAGTGCTAAAGGTTTTGCACTACGCCATAAGCCAAATTTGCTAAGAATTTCAAGCAAAGCATTAAAGGTGCCAATATTTGGGAAGAGTCTTTCTCGTTTCATGTTCTCCAAAAATTCCAATGCCAATGACCACCGACCATCTGATCCTTCTCTCAGAAATGGTACCAGTGTTAAAAGACTGTTGTATGTTTCTGTGTTTGCAGGTATTTGTTTTTCTTGCATTTTTTGATAAAGATCATAAGCTCTTTCTACATCAAAATACTTGGCCCTACCCTGTAATAGTGCACAATAAGCTTGACTATCCTTCTTTTCCATTGAAGCAAACAATTGTTCTGCCAAGCCATTATCTTTCCATGTTTTACGTGTTTCTCGAACAGAAAGTTTTTTGAACCATTGTTCTTCACTAAATTGGTCACCAGGAGATTCTTCACAATTAAAGAAACACAATAATTCAAGTAAAAACTGTTCTGTTTCATGACTTAAAGAGACATTTTTTTCTTTTATGTTCTTGTAGGCTGCAATTGCATTCTGAACTTCAACTTTGTGAATACAATCAAGAAGAAAATCCTCACTTATTTCACTATCGTCCGTTATTTTTTCAACTGGCATAAGGTCTTGTATGTTTGGTTCAGCAGGATTATTTTTAAAACTGTCAGGATATTTTTCAAGAAAGTATTTCGCAGCTTTTCTTCCGGATTCTTTTGATAAAGCAAACGATCGTTTAGTGACGTTACTAGCTGGAATGAAATAAGGATCATCATGGTATTTATAATGAGGGGCAGTAAAATCTCTATCAACTGTAGCTGCTAACGCTTTCAATATATCTGTCGGACCTCTCGGTATTCGCTTTGGAATAACGATTTCTTCTTTGACGCTCCATTTTTCATCACGTAAAGCGTCCGAATCTTTAACAGTAACTTCATAGGTGGATTCTGTTGCTGATAAGTTCCTAACATAATTACTTATACTAAAGAATCGACTCTTAAAAATATTTTTTTTCCAATTTAATACACACAACCGTAAGGACGTAGCCATGTTGGTATCAGGTAATATACGCCATCTACTGGACAAAGAGTCTTTCTACATAACGCATGGCGTAAGCGAAATATGTATGTATAGAATTTTAAGTTTAAATACAAACAATAACAACATTTTATATTATTTTTATGTAAGCAGTTACTAAGCAGTTGACTACACTACACACTCCTGAAGAGGAAATTTTTACTCCCTCAAATCACTCTTTCGACATTCTTCGAAGAAGTTATTGTTTATATAGATTATCCACTCCGTGAAAAACGCGATCGCAGAGCTTGTCGCAGTCGTGCAGAGTCCACAGCGGGTTTCAAAATTATTGATGCACTGAATAATTCTATATATATATATATATATGGCAACAAGTTTAAATATTCATATTGTTACGTCTCCGTTCGTTAGTTAATTTTCCGTAAACTCGTTCCGACGAAACTTTAGCGACACAAGTCCTTTCTTAAATAAAACTGGTTTATTCTCTCTGAATACAACTTTGCGATACACTTAATTTCAACAGTCGCGCTATAATTCTCAACGAACGTCTCACGTGCTCGACTTCAACAATACTCAGTTCAATTACTCATTACATTGTTGTCCCGTCACGTTGTGAACGTCTTATATATACAAGACTTACACATATCTAGTAAATGCTAGGGCATTCTTGAAGGAACAGGATATTTCTAGAAAGAGGTGGCGTGATACTAGTCACGTGACCTCGCTGACGCAACAATATGAACAAATTCGAGTTACGAACATTCTGCACGCGGGGCTGTGAGTTTTTAAATACCTGTGCTTGGTTATCAAATCAATCGACTCTTTATGAAAAGCAAACAACTTCATACAACACTCGCTGTCACTAATCAGATTCAGGGGGAAAAATAGACAATCTTACTCAGAAAAAGCCTGCATCTGGATGCAGAAGCCACTTGAATAATAAAATAGTAGTTGCTCATGCTCGGAAGTACAAAATACATTTTTATGTAGATGGGGTATAATTGTTCTTGCACATCAGAGAAAGTCAACGGCTGATGATCATTTGAAAAATAATTCCAAGCTCGAAACTTAGCAAAAGGGAAAGAAACTGCAGCAAGGCATACTAATGGAAGTGAAAAGTAAAATACACGTGGTATAACTTTGTAAATTACATCAAAACTAGTACTACAATTATAATTGGAAGAAGGTCCCAAAAGAAAACAATGTAAGTTTTAGTGGACCCTAAAGATAAAATTAAGAGTTGGCAGCGTATTTGTGTAAGATCCATTTCTGCAGTCTCGACCCTATTCTTTCTTACTGGAACTGAGTGTTGTTTACGTAACAACCAGATAGTAGTGAAAGAAATGGATCTTGGTGAAAGAGCAAGCATTTTGGCTGTTATCATGAAAATAGTAATAGGCGAAATATGTTTAGTAAGTCATTATTCGAGCAAAGACCCAATGAAGCCTGTAGATACCAAGAAATTTATGGACATTAAGGATTTCTGTTATATTAGGAATTAGAACATGAGCACTTGCAAACCCCCAAGAAATATTGCTTGACTAGGATAACCCATTAATTACTCTGCCTCTAAAGGTAACTTGTTGAAAGAAGTGATGATTCCAAGTTAGCAATTATTATTTTTTATATCAACACACCTAGCTGACCTTTTAACCAATTTGAATTCATCCAACATTGCATTTTCAAACCAGGCTTTTACTATTTAAGATTAGGTTCTTAAAAATTTGGCTACCTTGCTCTTCAACTAGCTATGATTCAATTCTTTGTATGCCAAAGCCTCCAATAGTTGCTGACATTAAAAATCAATTTGCCTATCACCAGTACACCCAGTACCTGTTTGGCAGAAACAGTGGACTTCCCCACCAATCTGAAAACAGCTGGAACCAGTGTGACCTCCCACCTGGTAGAATTCATGGATGTAGATATATCAGGGTGAGTATCCATAGATTTCGGTTGAGGGATTAGTTATTCAAAATTATATTTAAATTCCGAGAAAATATTTTTTAAAAAACATCATGCATGACTGTGCTAATAGATGGCGTTAAAATTATTTAAAGTGCTTGAATTTATATATATATATACTATCAATGACAATACAATATTTAGTGGTATCACACAGATTCGGAAACGGTTCACCATTTTCGAAGTCTAGAGCTCCGCTGTTTTCCACGACTGAATTCACACTATTATTGCCGGGCATAGTACGAGTGTCGATAATTTTATATGACTTATACTGGTGTGACACTTTCTTACAGGTTGGATGAAAACAAATCACAGTGTAAACTATCAAAACTTAACTATACTTTAGTGCAGTTCGTTTTCATACAATAAAGAGTGGCGTTCCGTAGTATTTATCTTTCAGCCTTTTTCCCTTGTCGATTCCATAATTATTTCCAACACTGCATCTTACATAGAAACTGAGTCAATTATTCCCACTGAATGTTTGACAGGCACAAACACAAGAGAACTCAGTATGAAACAATATATGGACCACATTAGTATGCACGATATAAAAACAAGTCAGTAATTTGAAGGTTAAATACATGAAACCAATACTTTTGTTTTGAAATCCCCAATTATACTTCTCAGTGAGTTTCATTAAACGCAGAAAAATCCCCAAAGGTCACTTTTGTTCTGAAATCCCCAATTATACTTCTCAGTGACTTTCATTAAACGCAGAAAGACCCCCAAAGGTCACATGCTAGTGGAATAGACAAATACTGACATTGTTTACAAAATCGTTATTATCTGTACATGCGAAACTACTTATTTCAGGATATCTGACGTGTTTAAAGCGGTTTTAAAATGCACATAAACACACCTAGGAAGTGAGAAAAGGCACAAACCATTAAATAAGATATTTCATTTTTGTTCCAATGTTGGTAAAGTAATTGTACAAGAATACACCAAGAAGAAAAAAATAACACACAAAGGAGTTTATTTTTTATATTTTAAATCTTCTCTGACAAATGTAATACTCCTTAAAAATAACACTTCGTTACTCATATATTGAAAACAAATTTCTTAATCGTTCTAAAACACATCATTAATGAAAGCTTCGAAGTTGATGTTGATATCTACCCATCTAGTTGTACAGTTTTCCTGAAAAATATCGGTAAAAAGATCGTGCAAAAGTTTTTGCCTTGTATACATAGGTGGCGTTATGAAGTAACGTTCTTTATCATCAGCGCCCAAGATATCGTGACCTCAGAATAATATCTTCTTGTCATGATGTAGGTCATGTTGAGATGATATCTATGTAGTTCACTTAGCCTTGAGAAGTATAACACTTTGTTTTATTTTCCACTTTTTGGTTCTTACAGAAACGCCCATAATGATGAACTGCTTGTTTGTCTAGGTGTGATAACAGCGCCCCCTTAGCAATTCTCTGCCTGTTATTTACAAAATAAATTAGTTTTTGAAACCTCATCAGTTTATTCGTGCAAAATAACTTTTAGATAAGCTCTAAAATTGTTACAATGTAGACTTTAAGTTGGATTAACAACTTTCAAAGTTAAGGTCTAAATTTTGATTTTAAGAAAGCAATTCATGGTGTTATAGAGTCCTAAGTAGTTAAGTTGACATTTAACTATTTTTGATTTTGAGTCTGATACCAATTTCATAAGTAACTGTGTAAAAAAATAATAATAAATTAAATTGTGGCCACTTATGAATGTCGAACTTTATTTTATTACGAAAAAAATGTTTCGTTTAACAATGTTTTTTAACTTTTTGACCATTGTGGCCCATTGTCTTAAGATGATATTTAGAATCAAAGGTTTTAACTTTTTGACCATTGTGGCCTATGGTCTTAAGATGATATTTAAAATCAAAGGTTTTTAACTTTTTGACCATTGTGGCCCATTGTCTTAAGATGATATTTAGAATCAAAGGTTTTTAACTTTTTGACCATTGTGGCCCCTTGTCTTAAGATGATATTTAGAATCAAAGGTTTTTAACTTTTTGACCATTGTGGCCTATTGTCTTAAGATGACGTGTCCATAAGAGAGAGAGAGAGAGATGAACATATATTGATTTTAAAACTAGGTACCAAATTAGCTACCTCTCGGAATTAACTAATGATTTTCTTTCCCTCTTAATGGATTTTGTTGTCAGTTTGAACTATTCACGTATGTTTATTGAAAAAGTACATGTATATATTATGTTATTTTTTATTTACTAGCTGAATTACCCGTTCCCTGCAAAGGTGTTCAAATTACTTGAAATGGGTACTTAAAAATAGAATGAAATTACTTTTAAGAACTTTTATTTAAAAAATACAATTTTCATAACATTTTAATTTTTGTCTAAAACTTTGACTCATAAAACAAAAATTACAAGTTAATACGGTAGATATATGATTGATTTATTTAACTTATATATATTTACTATACAAACTATACTATAATATTAACTTATATATATTTACTATACAAACTATACTATAATATTAACTTATATATATATTTACTATACTAACTATACTATAA